TATTTACAACACTGTTCCAGAACACTTCAACCCAAATATTCAGATGTGTGCAGCGCATTTTATGGAGGACTGTGTCCTGAACCTGGAAGAGTAGCGTACAATGCCGGCTGTTCTGACTCCCAGTCTGTAAGTACGTTTTCATATTTAAAGGATTTGCCACTGATGATTCAAATGCGATGAAGAGTAGCGCGTTTCTCCGATCACAAATGCAGACATGGTTTTATGTTTACGCGGCGCGATGCAACGCAATCAAAAAGACAGCATAAGTCATTATAATCCATAATTATGTCCCCACTGGATGCAATAAATGCCTCGTTTATAATGGGTTTTATTGGTTTTGTCTCGTCGCTCCGGGACACGGCATCACAATATAGTAAGGGGCGTAACATTTCCGTCACACGCTTGAGGTATTCGGCCAATTACAAGACACTGGATAGCTGGCCAATCAGAGCACACCTCGCTTTTCAGACCGATGAGCTTTGTAAAAATCGACGCGTTTCAGAAAGTCAGCGCATAGAGGAGAAACAATAATGTACAGTATGTGGGAAATAATGTGTTTTTTGAACCTTAAACTGCATAAACACATTTAATTACACCAAATGCACAAAATAATGTTCTTTTTAGCAACATCATATGACCCCTTTAAATGTCAAAATGTGCTAAAGTGATCTTATCCGTGGATCTTGAAGACGGAGGTGTTCAAAAACTCCATATGGAATGCAGTCATTCCACAGCCTAATGAGGAAGAAGGAAAACAAGAACATTTGCATATCAGGAAAAGTTGTAACTAACTAAAAATAATCATAACTTCTTTCTGTCCACCTGACTGTATTGGCAAACAGTAGATTTGCAAGATCTCTTATTTTCTGTTTAAACTAGCTCAAATGTTGTTCTCAGTCTTGAAATGCTAGTATCTGATACCTAATTACAAGAAAAAGTTATCCAAGTAAAAGCTAATGTGCTAGCCTCAGACCACTACATTACGTGAAGTCCAAAATGATGGTAAATGCTATTTTTTAATATTAGATACTCACTCCAGAGACTTCATTCCTGTGCAGTTTTTCAGAGCAGCACTGAGCTTTGTAGCTCCAATGTCTGTGAACTTGTTGAACTTAACACTGAAAGTAAATTACAAGAAATGCATAGATATAATATATTTCCCGCATTTAAAAAACAAAACAAAAAAAAACAATCATTAAAAGAGAATTGAACAGAAACTGTTTGTCAAAATGACTAAGATACTAAAATGAAATGAAATAAATTTCCTTGTTATATAAATCTTTGAAGATTTAACATGATTTGAATAAATACTTACTCCAAGTCCTGCAGGAAGTTCATGTCTGGTAAAACCAAGGCCAGATGTTCAGCTCCACTGTCAGAAATTACATTTCCATAGAGGCTAGAAGTGAGGAAATTGGAAAAAAGTCTTATATAAACACTTCCAAAAATCACATTTGACTTAGTGATGGTAAATATTTTTCAGAGGGTGTCTGTACCTGAGGCTCTGTAGAGAAGGGACTGATGGCAAAGCTTTAGCCAGTTTCTCCACTCCAGCATCTCCAATGAGGTTTTGAGACAGACTGTATGGTGGGAACATTGGACAGTTCAGTTGTGACACAGTTGTTTCTTTACAAGTTGAAATTACTTTGGAAAACACAGTTTTCCAGAGACTAATAAGCACCCATGTGTGATATTTAAGTGGATAAATGTTTCAAAACTTACTTTAGCAATTTCAGACATTCCAAAAAATGTAAAACGCCAGCAAGCTTCTCAGCGCCAGAGTCTCCTATTTGGTTTTTCTCAAGGCTGAAAGACAAACAAAGAATCAAGAACATTTTTAAATCTTAAAACACTAAAGGATTTCGCCCCCCCAATCCAAACATAGTCATGAAAACATACGATATCCACCACTGAATACTCACTCCAGATGTTGGAGAGACTGCAGCGAAGGCAGGACCTCTATGAGTTTAGGGAAAAGTTCAGGACCGTTCTGGACTCCGAGCCTGCAATGCAGAACACCACCACATATTATAAAAATAACAAGGATACAGAGGAAACGGAAACAGGAACCGACAGTAGGAGAAGAAGATAAGAGTGAGATTTACTCACTCAAATTCCAGTCTCTGAAGATGCCGGAGGGCTGGTACACCTTCATCCAGAGCAGACACAAATTCACTGAAAGTACAATAATACCCCTTATCAACAGCATCATTTTATGCTACAATTTTAAGTGAAAAACATGAATGGGAATGGCATCATTCAGTTAAAAATATATACATTATTTTTATAGTCATCAGTCTTCCTATCAAAGACAAAACTGATGCTGTACCTCATTGGTAACTTCTTCTCTCTGTGAATTTGGACAAGTACAGGCAGGTTCTCTATGTGATACCCTTGTGTTGCCTTGAATGGGTGCAAGGTGAATTTCTCAATGGCACTTTTCAGGTTCAGTTCATCATTGCTTTGATGCAAGTCCTCCCATAAGCCAATGGTGTCTGCTGTATGTGCCCTAATGGGAAAACCAATAATAATATAGTAAATAAACATCTTGAAATATAAATGAAATCCTTATGCTTAAAGCAATAGTTCATTCAAAAATAAAAATTCTGTTATTTACTCATCCTCATGTTGTTCCAAACTACCTTGCTTCCGCGAAACACGAAAGCAGAAAAGTTCCATGCTTATTTCCATGCAATTACATTTCAAAAAGGGTTTCTAAAAGGACACAAATTATCATAAAAGTGGTAAATACAGCTTGTGCCCAATTTTCCAAAATCATCATTATTCGTTTGTCGTTATTCACTGACAGTCTTGACATCCGCCTTATCTCCATGTTCATGAAAAAACGCAGCGAAGTAGTGAATCCGATTGGTCTTCCTGTTTTGTGAATCAGAGTAACCAGGGTGCGAAATACGGGGGAGCTAGGGCGAGCTTGGCTCCCCTTAATAAGACATGGGCTCCGCTGAAAATGTGATTTGTGAAATTTTGGGGGGGGTCTCAAAAAATATTGACAATGTGTTATTTTGACGTGCAATTTCAGTTTTGTGTAATGTGATCATCGTGGATTATTATGTGTAAAATTGAAAAAATATCATTAATTCATGCATGATGGCGATTTAAACCTAATTCACTTCAATAAAGATAACTATACATGTTATTCTTGTCATGAGCATCAAGGTGTGGGGGCGCTGCGGTGCAAATTCCACTCATGTTTAGTACATGTTAACATTCGCAGAAAAAATATAAACGTTGGACTCTGTGGTCGATTCTGTGTTAAGGTAAGGCATGTTATTCGCAATTATGTGTTGTGGCTGGGTTGTTATAGGTCTGCGATGTCTTAGGCCTAACTGAACGGAGGAATTATGGTATTCTTCTGTAGCCTGACGATGAGTAACTTTAACCGTTGTTCATGTGAACTCAAAGACAGCCGGATGCTTTGTTTATAGACTATTTGTGGGTGGCTGTTTGTTGTTTCACCTATCAATTAGTGTCGATAAAGTATAATAGGGTAATTCCTATATAGTGTTTTATCCTGTATTGTGCTTGCATAAAGCAAGTAGTGCATACACTTGTAGCTGTTATGTATATAGTATATATATAGTTCGAACACAGAGTAACTGACTCAAAAGAATGATTCATCAATTCATCAATGTATGATTCATGAATTAATCATTATTTTGAGTCATTTGATCTGGTTCATTAATGAATCAGCCTTTTTGGTTAAATCTTTTAAATGAATAGTTTGTTCAGTGAATAACTATTTCAATTTTTAACGGATCATCACACTACTTTTATGGTACTTTTATGCCTTTACATCTTTTTTTGAAGCTCAAAAGCTTGTTTCCCTTCACTGTAATTGCATGGGAATTTAAAAAAGTCTTAAATTATCCAATTTTTGTATTGCAAAGATGTTAGGGTGATTAAATGATAACAGAATTTTCATTTTTAGGTGAACTATTCATTCAGCAATGCATTATGACAACTTCTCACCAGAATGATTTGATACATTTGAGTCCCACAAGCTCTTTGAGGCCACAGATGGGAATGCATGTATCTTGCAGGTTAATGGAGAAGGTCCGCTTCAATGCGCTGGCTTGTTGAAGGAGATGGCATATAACATACACGTCCAATGGGCAAAGCTGCGTCCCATAGAATGACAGATTGTCAGGCAGGTTCTTCAACAGCAGTTTGGCAAATTTGGCACTGCTGGTCTCGTAAACACAATGAAACAGTTCTAGTAACCTGGCAGGAACCAAATCATTAGGCTTCATGCTCTCCAGATGGGTTTCGACAGCCTTTCTTTTGGCTTTTATGTTGACACTGCTGTCCAGAATGCTGACTCCATCAGCAGCCTTCTGGAAGACCAAGCCCGTGACAAACCTCTGCAGCACGTCCTGTGACTCTCCCTGAACCTTTCGTTTCTTCTGATGGACTACGCTGTTTGCCACCACCATTTTTTCGTTCACCTGTTTAGACTGTACAAGGTGCACAGCGCTCAGGAGGTTCTGAGTGAAAAGGTCTACAAAGTGGTTTTCCTGATGCTCAGATGCTTTGTAGGATGCAAGTATGCCACTTTTAAGAGAGCAGTCCAGCAGCTCTGTAGAACTGGCAGGGTTTACACGTGTATCATGATTCTCGAGTCCCTCCCATGCCATTTTGCACAACTGTGGGATGTCCAGCTGTTTTCTATTTTTACACAGTGAGCTATTTTCAAGGCTAGCTAGTTGCAGATGCTTTGAGGTCACTCTTTGGTACAAGTCCGTGAGGGTTGAAGGCAAATCATCATTGCAGCTGTCTTGGTGCTCGAGCAGGAAGCAGGTAGTCCAACAAAGTAGCGGGTTGGAGCATAAACTGGATATGTATCTGTGATTCTTAATCTGTTTTAGTGCACTTTCTTGGAGGGAAGCATCCCCGAAATATTTTGACGTATACAACTCAATGTCCTCAGGAGAGAAGCCACAAAGCTCCAAAAGGCTGTCCACTTTTCGCAGCACCTGATTTAAAACGTCTTTAGGCCTCGTGGCGATGAGAAGCGTGCAGCCCGAGAGGATTTCCTTTTGGAACAAACCAGAAAATAGCTGTTTGATGGTGTATTTAGTGTTTGTGTGTGATTTTGCAGGGGACTGGAGAAGCCCCTCAAAGTCTTTAATGTGATCAAAGCTGTCAAAGATAATTAGAACTTCATCAGGACAGGACAGAATGTGTTTGAACACAGAGTCTGAGTCCTTGCAGCGAGGAGCCATAGACAAATCGAACAGTAAACCTTTCAAGCTGTAGTTTGATTGTGTGAGGTCTAAAATTTTACAGTTCAACAAAAAAACAAACTGGAATTGAGGCAGGCTGCCGCTCGCCCAGTCCAAGCATAAATGCTGAATGAATGTGGTTTTTCCCACTCCGGCTTTTCCAAGGAGAGTGACTGACTGTTTTAGTCTGGAATCACTGTTATGAAACAACTGGCTTCTGTCCAGCTTTGCTTTCTTTCGCTCTGAATCACTAAGGATGACCAGTTCTTTCTCCAAACACTTATTTGCATTCTTGCCGGATTTGATAAGGAGTTTCCTCTGGACCAGATGCGTGTCCACATAGTGTGACTCCATTCCCATTCCCCCACGCATAGAGCAGCAGACATCTCTCATGTAGGATTTTATGTGATGTATGTAGTCCTTAACACATTCTGTAAAGCAAACATTTATCATGTTTCACATAGTATAATTAAGTAATTCAAGCTTAACAAGCTTAATGATTAAATTGGTTTCTTACCTGGTGCTTCTGGGCGGATTTTCCTTTCGGTTTTTGGAGGTGTGGAATCATAGTTTTTTTGTGGGTTTCCTTCTGTAATTTGAAAAACAAACAAGCAGTCATTCTGTGACTATTCATTTGTGTTCAGAATTGTTAGTATATGCACAGAACTACCATAAAAATGTAATATGATAACACTTTGTAACTTGTAAAATGCCACAGTTTCTCTGTTTACAAGGAATATTAATTTTCCTCAAAAAATAAAGCTTGGAGTACAGCAATCCCAGATTGAATCTGTACTCATGGAAGACTAATCATCCTCTCTACAATTCTATAAGAGTAACTGATATACCAGTCATTTGGTCGATTATTAGGCCGACAGTCCTTTTGAGATCATGCTCATTTAGCTGATAAAGTGTTAACTCTCTTATGTCATGTCCGAAATAAATAGACACCTACAGTCAATAGATCATTCACAATTTGTTTAAAACAACTGGTAACACTTTAGTCACCTTATGTGGCTGTCATATTAAGATCAAATAACTGAATCTGAAGGTCAAGGTCAAGGTCATTTTTAAGGTCATTTATGTGGAAGGCGTAGGGCCAAGAAATGTTCGTCCAATCAAAATTCCTGGTACTGTAGTACTTTTAAAGTCTTCTCACCGGTGACACATGATGTAGCCCAGTGGTTCCCAATTCCAGTCGTCGCCCCCCCCCCCCCGGCTCTGCATATTTTGCATGTCTCGCTTAGTTAACACACCCGATTCAGATAACCAGCTCGTTAGAAGTGAGCTACGTGCATGAACTGTGTTCCGATCGATATGATCCCTACACCGTGTTCTTTGCTCCCTACTCCCTGAGCAGGGGAAATCCATCAAAGGTTACTTCCCTTCGAACATTCATTCATTCGGATTTGCGCTGCGCAGCGTCTTCACACACAGACTAAACTTACTAGAGAAGTGTGAAATGTGACATAATATACCACTGTAAATAAATACTATTTAAATTTACGTCTCGCACACTTTAATGCCCTTTGTAATGAACATATACTCTCGCTTCGAACTGAAATCATGGCAGAATATCCGGTGATGTCTACTACGCAGGGCACTTACGGTCGAATAGAACAAACGCACGTGATAAGAGATACATATGAAATGGGCGCGAGGACTGGAATTGGGAACCGCTGATGTAGCCTATTGTAATGTTGTCTCTGGTATTCTGGTCTGTGAGCGTATATGCATTAAGGGGGCGTGGCTTTGGGCGGCGATTGCAGGGAGGGTGGGACGTTCACTTATAGTGCTATCAGGCTAAAGTTAGCATTTTCCAAGATCTCCTACTGCACCTTTAAGAAAATTATCGCCCACCCAACTTTTGATGTCATTTACACAAGCTAGTAAATCAGATAAGGACTTTGACCCAGGTTTTATTGGCATGCATACAGTAATTGGGTGTCATCTGCATAAATGTGATATGGAACCTTGTGAGATTCATAAATGTAGCAGAGAAGGAGCATGTATGAGACAAATAAAATCGGGACCAAAATGGAGCCCTGAGGCACCCCCACACGTAACATAAGCAGGCAATTAATAAAACTGACCTATCTCTACAGAGAAACTCCTCTTAGTAAAACAGGACACAAACCTCTCTAAGGCTGAATCACAGATACCAACCTCGGTTTTTAAACGGTTTAAAAGAATGTAGTGATCCACTCTATTAAATGCTGCACTTAAGTCTACAATACCAAAATTGCACAATTTCCAGGATCCACAAATAGTAAAAAGTCATTTACTACTCTTAACAGGGCCGATTCAGTGCTATGCTTAGCTCTTAAAAGGATCCAGTGTATTATTCCCAATTAAGTAGGGGGATAACTGATTTAAAACAGCCTTCTCGAATACTTT